ATAATCCCAGGGCATATTTTTAAAGTTTTTAGAGTTTTTATTAAGTTCTTTCGAATTTTATTAGTTGTAAGTCCAAAAATTATTATTCAATGTTTTGTTTGCCCAAAAACATACATTAGGAAAAGTTCCTCGTCGTTTCAAAGATAAGTAATTAAAAAAACATATGCGTTACAAATATATTGTAAAATATTATCAGTAATTTTTTATGCAGGTTTCCAACAAACTTTGAAGTTGATAAAATTAACAAAAACACTAAAATATATTGGAAACATTTTATAAATTATGATTTTGTTATGAATTCCGCCGGGAAAGAGGAATTTAAAGCTGGAAGCAGTTCGTATTTCATTCAATTCTCAACTTGGTCCATCTTCAAGCAACTTATAATAATATTATCTAATACCTAATACAAATTATTCATACATTATTATCTTAGTGCTCCCTGAAAAGAAAACATTTAATGAAAATATAAACTACTCCAAAGAGTTTCTTGTATTTTCTAAAAATTAGCAATGAGAATAGTGAAAGCCAAAAGCGCTCTTCTGCTAATTTAGTAAACATAATTTTATACAAAATACAAAACAGATTGTATTTATTTTCTAAATATTGAAATATTATATTGTAAATATTCTATAATTCTTTTTAGTGAAAATTTACCTCCTCCTAATGCAGTGAAAGACGAGTCTAGAAGAGATTTATAATTAAAATAATTTGCATATAAAGGATCAGAAAATTCAAGTTGTTCTAGAAGCTATAGAATAAATTATTCAATTTATAAATTAGAAATCTATATAATTCAAAGAAAAAAATTATGCTAAAAATAATAACTAAAATTAAAAATGCCCGTTTTTTACAAAATATGGCACATAATCATTTTGAAGATTATTAAATGATCTAAAATTCAAACAACTTTAAAACCCTGTTGAAAGTTTATTAATGACCAGGTTGTTAATCTGGAAGAAAAGTCAAATTAATTTAGCGAAGTAGAAGAAGGTTGCAATCTAGAATATCTGTCAATATTCGCTTCTAACTTGTAATGTCTTTGCTTCTAACATATTTATGAGACCAAAAATTACATAACCGAAAATGCATCAGAAGAAGTTGAGGTATCTATGTATCTAGTATTAAAAAACATTAATTAAGTTGGCATACATGTTGTCATTTAAATATATGTAGCCCATGGGCTACATACTTTGATTACTATACGAGGCAAGAGAGAGGTGCGACACGCCCAACATAGGGCGCGGCCATTTTGAACCCTGTGACACAGTTTACAGCTAAAGAATCAGATCGCTCACTCTGCGTCGGCACTTTTGATCTCAATGTTTCAGTTTATACTCTGTGCAACTCGGATAATACAATATATGACAACCGCCTATAATAAAACAGCAGTCTTCTCCGTATCCTGAATTTGTATCCCTGGAGTGGATGTTATTTTGGAACTTTCAACTGGTCCGAGTGAGCTAACTGATTCTCTAGCAATAAACTGTGACTTCAAAAATAATATTCACTGACACTGACAGCAGCAAGCAAAATATCAGGTGCGTTTTAATCTTCCGCTTCTGCTTCCGGAATTGTCGGTTTAGTCGTTTTAACCTGTCAGATTAAAACAAGAAAACCGACAATTCTGAAGCAGAAGCGGATGATTAAAACGCACCTATTAAAAATATTGCGCCAAGATGTAGGCAACACGTAATAAGGGTTCAAAATGGCGGAGTTTTCTATCTCCTTTTAAAAGGCACTCAGAAATCTGCGCAGTGCGACCATTCTCCGTATAGTAAAAGAAAATCAAAGTATGTGCCCATGGGTCACATACTTTGCTTACTATATGGTGCAAGAGAGACGTCCACATACTTTGATTTTCTTTTACTAGACGGAGAATGGTCGCACTGCGCAGCTTTCTGAGTGCCTTTTAAAAGGAGATAGAAAACTCCGCCATTTTAAACCCTTATTACGTGTTTCCTACATCTTGGCGCAATATTTTTAATAGGTGCGTTTTAATCATCCGCTTCTGCTTCGGAATTGTCGGTTTTCTTGTTTTAATCTGACAGGTTAGAACGACTGAACCGACAATTCCGGAAGCAGAAGCGGATGATTAAAACGCACCTGACATTTTGCTTGCTGCTGTCAGTGTCAGTGAATATTATTTTTGTTACTCTGAGATTTTTGGAGTCACAGTTTATTGCTAAAGAATCAGTTAGCTCACTCGGACCAGTTGAAAGTTCCAAAATAACATCCACTCCAGGGATACAAATTCAGGATACGCAGAAGACTACTCTTTTATTATAGGCGGTTGTCATATATTGTATTATCCGAGTTGCACAGTGTATAAACTGAAACATTGAGATCCAAAGTGCCGACGCAGAGTGAGCGATCTGATTCTTTAGCTGTAAACTGTGTCACAGGGTTCAAAATGGCCGCGCTTTATGTTGGGCGTGTCGGACCTCTCTCTTGCCTCGTATAGTAATCAAAGTATGTGGCCGTATCTGATCCACTAACGCCCGTATGCACCGTACACGTTTAATCCAGATCAAGGGTTTAATCGCGTTTAATACCATTTATAGCTATGGTACTAAACGCGATTAAACCCTTGATCTGGATTAAACATGTACGGTGCATACGGGCGTAAAGCGTGCAGTACACTTCGCGAAATTTCGGTTAGTTTGTAAACTCTGTATTGGTGCCGACGTCAAGGAACGCTGCTTTCCAAATACATAATAACATGTCTTGGAGTAAAACTTTAATTATTTTCTTTTTCTAAAGATTAAAATGCTGAAATTTTATTTTAAAACACATTTGGGCTAAAACGGCTCTATTTAGTGAGCACTAGGAAAGGCACATTGCAACCCACTTTTCATAATTTTTTTATAGATGGGTGAGCAATCTATAATATGTATCATTGGACATCTCATAAACGTCAGTGGATGAATGACAGGAATGACATTTCGACTAACATAAAGCTAAAAAGATTTATTATTATTATTATTATCAATCTTTTTTTATTAATTTACATTTTTTAAATGTTATTGGGGTCTATTCTGTAACAATTCCTTTATATTTAACGGCCTTTAAAAATATTTTCTTCTTTACTTCTGTCATTATTTAAACGGATCTTTAAAATACATTAAAGAACTATCTTAAAGAAATCTGTTTAAGTAATGACAGAAGTAAATTAACGAATACGAAAATATTTTAAAGGCCGCCAATATTTTTAAAGGCCGTTAAATATAAAGGAATTGTTACAGAATAGACCCCATTGTAATACTTTTAAATTCAGTGTTACTAAATACCGATATTTTGACATTGGATACACTTGTTTAAGATACAACTTTACAATTTATTGTCACTTAGCCCATTTAAATCTTTTTGCTTAAAATGTATATACATGTCCAGATTTTACGTCATTTTGACCATGTACACGATTGTTTGGTACGGGCCGGTATCTATTTTTAACTATATTTAATATTTTAAAAAATATCCTTTATTATTTACTTGCAATGTTTACCCCATTTAATTCTAAAATTAAACACTAGAGAGGGCTAACTTCGGCAGTAGTGCTGCCTCTATATTTCACGAACGGTCCCTTCAAAAATGGTTATATATTTTAAGACTGTATTATGCTTTGAATATATATTCAAAGGTATTATCTCAGAGTAAGTAAGTAGTAAAGAGAGGACAGTAAACAATGTTTGTGTCGCCATGATAATATGGTCGAGAATTCTAATTAGAGAGAAATAGATTAATATCTCTATCTCTTTGTTTGTATTTGTCAGTTTTACAAAGCTTTTCTCAGACAATTATTCCACTGTTTAATTTAAATTTGTTTGTGTTGTGGTGTTAAAAGTAATTGTTATTAATATTATATTCATAACAAAAAAGTCATATTTTGTTTTCACTTAATTAAAAATGCACCTACCTACCTTTTAAAACATTAACCCAGCGAAATTGTTTTACGGTACGCTACTGCTGAGAATTCTAAAACGAGTGAGAAAGCCTTCATTAGAAAGAGAGATACTGATTATATGATAGCGAGATTAATATTGTATAACTTTATGCAGTGGTGGCCTATCTGCTATTATATTATCTAAGGGTATTATAGAGTAAGTGTTCTGTGGGTATTATACATCAGTGGTGTAACACTACCAAAAAGAAATATATTTAACTTCTAGTAAGTCACAACAATACATTGCACAATAAACATAAAATCCTTTTATTACCTATCCCATCAATCAGTAAATGAGTATCATTTGGTTATTTAAGTGATTGATAGGTATAGATAGGTAACAAAACCAACAAATGGCTAAAGTATTTCTTCAACAAAACTAAGTTTTTCAAATTCGTGTTACTCAGGGCATTACGACTTTTACTAGTGCCAACGAAGGCAATGTGTCGTATTTGCATACATAAAAAAATAACAGTGTAGTTATGTAAGACGATGATGTAAGACACAATAAACAGGACAAGCCCCCCTGTTCCTGTTTGTACGTCAGCTCTCGTACTCGTCAGCTGTAGGAATGAAAAGTACTCAAAATTTTTCGAGTACTGAGTCCCATTAGGATGAAAGACTCACGAATATTAATTACCGAGTACTTTGTGTACTCAAGTACAATTTACTCGAGTACTGCCCAACTCTGACCATAAAATATGTAATGGCTCCCGAGTTCCGAGGAGATCCGTTTTCAATCGTCGCCTTAAATACCACATTTGTGAGTATTCAGAATGGTGTTAAGGGTTTTTATTAAAACATTTTATTGGTTCTGTACATGAAACGCTGTGTGAATCACTTTCAGATTACCATTCATCTCATGTATGGACATATTTCATTGCCCGCGTTGAATTAAAGAGACATCAAATCGACTTTTTTTGAGCAATAGATTCTCCAAATGATAATAGTAGATGAAAATCTATGTGACACAATTTAATCAAATTTATCAACTTTAAAATGTACTTGCTGATGTAATTCGCAACTTTCACTGAGGTAGGAGCCAAAATACTAGAAATAAAAAACGAAACTAAAATAATAACAGTTTATTTCAAAGATGTATATAGACAGCCAACACAATAACATTATATCGAACTAGTTTCAGTTTTGGTTGATAGTACGTTTTAGTTTTTAAATTTTACTTCCATTCTTAACATAGAGCAACGACACTTTTTGTCTTAAAATTATCTCAAACTACTAAACATTTCGATAAAACCCCTTCGCCATACGTATTGTCACTTATTGAGGTTTACGGAATGTTTTACCAGCATATTTGGCATCGGCTCCCAGTTCTTCTTCAATACGAAGAATTTGGTTGTATTTGGCTAATCGTTCAGACCTGCAAGGTGCTCCAGTTTTGATCTGACCAGTGGAAAGTCCCACTACAAGGTCGGCAATGAAAGTGTCTTCCGTTTCACCAGACCTGTGGGACACCATGGTACCCCAACCGTTAGCCTTGGCCAGAAGGTGAGCTTGAATTGATTCTGTGACAGTACCAATTTGATTAACTTTGAGTAAAAGGCAGTTGCAAGCTTTCTTTTCGACGGCTGTTTGGATACGTTTTGGATTGGTGACGGTCAAGTCATCACCGACGATTTGAATGGTGGTATTGGCAGTGATTTTGCTCCATGCCGCCCAGTCGTCTTGGTCAAAGGGATCTTCAATTGAGACAATTGGATATTCCTTGATGAATTCTTGGTAAAGGGCTTCCAATTCATCGGGAGATATCCATTTGGTTTTGTCCGAGTTGGGGTTTTTGAAGTCCAAATCGTATTTACCTGAAATAATTTAGGATTTCACAACTTTGTTAAAACTAGGAATTTAAAATAAAACCAACTAATCTTAAGTGAGATCTAAAATTTTTCCCAAAATGTTTTGTTTAATAATTTGTTTTGATGACAACCAAAATTATTTTATCACTAGTTAGGTTATTTGGAAGAAATCACCGTTATTACTAGAAAATAATATTCTAATCTATAGAACAGTCATAAACCGTAAAATCAATATAGTTCATATTTAGTTACCATGATATTCTTGGAAAAAAAAATTGTTTAGGCCACTGTGGCATGTATGAAGTGGAAATGTGCATGTAGGATTTCAAAATAATGACGTAATAAACATGGGCACTGCATTACCAATACAGATCCCAATTATAGTGTGGGGATCAAAAGGTAAGACGAATTCGCTCAATTCGACCACTCTTGGAACAACAAAATAACAAGATTGAAAAGAAATTAATCAATAGATTATGATATGAGATTATTAGGTTTTTCTTTATTGGAACCATTAGAAGACTTGAAATACTAGTCATAAGCCATCATATTAACAAATAAGATTGTACAATTATTTTGATTGCTGATTAACTTCTTTAAAAAAAACTGTGGTACCCACTGTAACTAAATGCATATGATGCTACAAACGATTAAATTAGACAAGTTGTAACGACTATCTCGTCTTAACAGTAACAGGAGCACGCCTAATATAAAGGATAAACAATTTTTAAGAGTTCATCTACTGCCTACTGTCAGAACTTCAGATGGAACCGCGAATGGCATTTTGGGATACAATATTTGAAGAATATTCTTAAATACGTTAAGAGGATTAACCTAACGAAAAAAAAAACTGGCCAGATAAAGCTTCGGAACTAGTAAATTTTGAACCACGTAGAATATATTTATTATCGATTAATTTTATTATAGAATCGATTTTAGTTTCATAGAATCACTACCAATAAACCCACCTTCTTTGAAGAATTCAGATGCGGCCACGTCCATACCGATTTCAATTTTTCCGGTGTATCCGGCATTTTGGATAGCTACTTTGATGAGTTCCAGACCTTCTTTGTTGTTCAAAATGTTGGGAGCGAAACCACCTTCATCTCCGACAGCAGTGGCGTCCAAGCCGAATTTGGCATGGATGACTTTCTTCAGGTGATGGTAGGTTTCGGTACCCATGCGCATAGCTTCCGTGAAAGATGTGGCACCAGTAGGGAGAATCATGAATTCCTAAAATGGAATAAATGAAAATATCACAATATTAACGACTATCGTGCAGCCAATGAGGAAAGAAAATTTACCTGCATAGCCAACTTGTTACCGGCATGTGAACCACCATTGATGACGTTGAAAGCGGGTACCGGCAAGATAATTTCCTTGTTACCGGCCAAATCAGCAAGATGTTTGTACAGAGGAACATTCTTCTTAGCGGCTCCAGCCTTAGCGACTGCCAAAGAAACACCCAAAATGGCGTTGGCTCCCAATTTAGCCTTGTTTTCTGTGCCGTCCAGTTTCATCATGAAATCATCGATTTCGGTTTGTTGAGTGACTTCCAAGCCAGCTTTGATAAGTTCAGGTGCGATTATTGAGTTGATGTTGTTGATGGCGGTTTTGACACCTTTGCCGTGGTATTCGGTTTTGACATTGTCACGGAGTTCAAGGGCTTCATAGATACCTGTCGAAAGAGTTTAAAATAAATCGTAGATATTTATTTGAAACTAAAAGAATTGTTTTTTTTTGTCTCCAATCTAATGTAGTTTATAAATTATATAATTTAAAAAAACGCAGCATCTAACTAGCTGAAATAACCACAGTAATTCGGGCGCTCGTTCTTACTGTACATATTTTGTTGATTTGAGAAATATTCAACTAGGCTGCTAAAATCACTATAACAATGTAATCCTGCAATATTTTGATTACTTTAGCACAATTGTATTCATAAAACAAGTGCAGAAGGAGGTATTAGAAATTGAGGGAGACTTGATCTAATATGTGTCAAACTGACTGCTCTTCTAATACTTACTTGTATGTTTTCTTATAAATACAACTGAATCTTTGCTATATGGTTTTGATCAAAATAAAACAAGCAGCAATATTTATTTTCAAAACAATATAATACCATCTAGTGATGGGTCGCCGGAAATCTACATAAGCAAGACCGATGGACATATCTAAAAAGTTGACCAGTTCAAACAAACTATTCAAAAGTGAAAAAGTGTTATGCACATGCACGAAATTAAACAATTTGACGAAATTTCTTACAAAGGCAATATATAGTATAAAAAGAGAAAACAACAAATGCGTTACCTATTATCCTTTAAAAAAACAAAAAATCCAATGTTTAGAAGAATTTTACAAATTATTTGTCTAAAAAACGAAAATGCAAATGAAGGAGTTAGAATACAAAGGGTGTAAGTATCAATTAAACCAGTTAAGTTTGTAGTTTTTGTGCGGGAGGTTGGTTCAGGGAATGCTTACTTATAAGAATCGTAAGAAAGATGGAAAAATTTACTTGTACCCATTTTGTACCTCGACATATTTCAGAACAAATTAAACTCTTGCTTAATTAACACAATGACAAACATTTTACTACATATTTTTATAATCAGAGTCAATAATATGATACTATCATCCATATCCTATTGAAATATTGAACTTTTTATTAAAAAATTGTCATATATTTTGAATCGTGTTGTTTTTTATGATGCTGTATTTTTATGTGGAGATTTTAACATTGACTTTCTAACAGATTCTTATAATAAACATCTCCTTACTGATCTTATTCAGAGTTTTATCCTAACTTGTCAGAATCACGACCCCACGTGGGTATGTATAGCTAAAAACAACCGCATTACTAAATCTAAAATAGACTATTTTTTAACAAATTTTTCTGTATATACTGAAACTGTGGTTGATTTTAATCTAGGTGATCATTTTGGCTTGGATGTTATGCTTGGAGACATCCCATGTGCACAAAGAAAAATTAACAATGAAATAGTAACTTTTAGAGATCTTTCTTTTACAAACTTAGGAAATCTTAATGCAAAACTAAATAATGAAGATTTTTCGCCCGTGTATGAGTTAGATAGTACTGATGATTCTTTTGATACATTCTTTAGAATCATTTCATATCATATTGATGTAACTTGTCCCCCAGAACAAAAATGGTTAAAAATAATACATCAAGGCAATGGATAAACAAAAACGTTATACATACAGGTAATAATCTTAAAAATTCGTATTGGCTTACTAAAACTTGTGACAGCTCAGAATTGTTAAGAAATTACAAATCTAAAAAAAAAAAGATTATGTTCAATTAATAAATGTAAATAAAAAAGAATCATTATAAAAATGTGTTAGAAAACAAAAATCCTCAACAAAACCAAAAAATTATATGGAATACAGAACACTCTATAACCGGCAAAAGCAAATCTATAAAGCCAATACAGATCAATGTTGACGAAAAAACTGTAGCTAATTGTTTTGCTGACTATTTTTCAACCATAGCTAGTAACACAGTTAAAGATAATTTTGACAATACAAAATTTTCATAACTACACTACCATGCATGTATAAAATACATTCTTCTATGATGGAACAGATTCCCAGGAAGTAACTGCAGTCATTAGTTCTTTAAAAAATACTAATGCGATGCATGTAGATTAAAATAATTAAATCTATTAGAACCAATTGTATATCTAATCAATATGTCTGTAAAAAATGGCATATTCCCCAAAGAACTTAAATCTGGTATAGTATCACCTATTTTAAAAAAAGGTGATTCAACATCTCTTGAAAATTATAGACCTATCACAGTGCCTACTGTTCTCTGTAAAATTTTTGAAAAATGTATATATAAACAAATGTTATCATTTTTATTTAAATTTAAAATTATTACAGATCAACATGGGTTTCTTCCTGATAGGTCAACAGAAAGTGCTACTACTGCCTTTCTTAATTATGTCCACAATCAGCTGGATAGAAAAAGGTTAGTGGATGCGCTCTTTTTGATCTATCTAAAGTTTTTGACACCATTGATATCTCAATTATCATTAGAAAATTAAGTGCTTTAGGTATTAGGGGTAACTTTTTGCAATGAATTAATTCCTATATAGATTCTCGTAAAATGTCTGTTAGAATCAATGGTTGCTTATCAGAAGTAAAGGACATGGATCGCGATGTTCCCCAGGCATCAGTATTGGGTCCACTCATATTTCTACGACTTGCCTAACTTCATCTCATCCAGTCACATTTCAATACATATATGCAGATAATACCAATGTTGCTGTTGATGCAGAATCATCTGAGGAACTTCATTCCAGATCGTCCCTTGTTGCTAGAGAATTTACTGCATGGTGTAAAAGAAATGCATTAATTGTTAACTCCAACAAACCACTACTCGTTCAGTTCCATTCTAGATCAAGAATAAGTAGAGATTTTTTAATACAAATAAATATTGATATCCCACTGTCTATGAAAACAAAATTCCTAGGCTTCATTTCATAATAAAATTTTTTAATCGCCTTTCATTTTTGATTTATAAGTTTTTTTTAAATTTCAACTCCCATTTTTATTCATAGGCTCCGTCCCTTATAGAGCCTGATTTTTGCTAAAATTGTCAAGTTGATATCATTTTTGAGTTAGTTTATTCAGATTTTTAAAAAAAAACAATGAGTTTCGTGTCATACAGTTTGATTTTTCTTGGAGTTTTAAGTCTATATCATTTTTGATTCGTGCGGACAAAACACGTGACATCGTGACATTTTAAAAAGTTATTTAAAGTTTGATGAGATGGATTTTGGTACAAAAATGTTTAAATATGGATTAGTAATAAAAATTTTGGTTTCTCAAAAATAAATCTATAATACTCTTCACATACTACTTCATGAAGAGTGTAATAAATATGCACAAAACACATAATATGAGAATAACCTAGAACTGGCTAAGAATACAACGGGTATTTATATCCTTTTTATTTTAACAATTCTAATCACATGCCTTTTTTAGTACACAATAAATTGCGTTTAGAGAAAAAATTCGTTTGGATCCTTTATATTCTAACACATATTTATATCTAGTTTTCGCGATTGGTTGTATCTTTAACAAAAAAAGGTACTTGTACCCTTTGTATTCTAACCCCTTCAAATGTATCTGAGAGTTTTTTTTTTTAGGTGCATCCAGGATGGAGAAATATTTAACTGTATCTTCTATGCCCAGGGAATATCAAAAGCAGTTTCTGGGAAAAACGTCAAAACACTCGAAGAAAAGGGAAAGACTTACTTTTCACTGTTTATTCAAACATGTCCTTTGGAAATGCCCCGGAAACGAACCCATCACTATAAAATCATACTTCACAGAATTTATTGCTTACCGAAATAATAGTAATCATGTGTCCCTATATTATATTTAGGATTGTATTTTCCATTTAGTACTTACCGGTACTTGCTCCAGATGGTACAGCAGCACGGAAGAGACCCAAATCGGTGGTCAGATCGACTTCAACGGTTGGGTTACCTCTGGAATCGAATATTTGACGAGCGTAAATTGTTTTGATACCCATGTCTTCTGCAATAAAATGAATAATGGTTAATAATAATACTAAAAACGATTAATTTCATCAAAATTTTATCGTGTTTATAGACGATTAGTCCTTGTTTGATTCGTATGACCTCAGTCGACCTTTGTTGGTAGTAAATAGTAAACACAACGTCAAGGAAAATAGAAGAATATTATTTATTTTTGGAACTTAAATTCACAAATATTGCAATGTTTGACTGCGTTGGGATAAAAATAAACAATGCAATCAGACATGTATATAAAGTTTGGGGAATTATGAAAATCCATTTAGCTATACCTTCCAAATACCAGATTATTTTAGATAATGAATGGCATTAAAATAGCACAAAAAAAAGTTAAAAAAATCAAATGAGACAAAAAAACGACTGCCTGTCTGAGATAAATCCTTACAGATGAATAGTTGAAGCAACACTGTTTTATAAATGACACAAAAATAAAACCATTTCGCAATAGGAGACCGAGACCGACTTCAAAACGCGAAGCGACAGCGAACGAGACCGAACACATATTTGTCACGCGTTCCCAAATGGTAGCGACCAGCGACACCAGTAAGACTGCAAATATTGCCATACTAAATCTGCCGTCGTCTGTCGTGTCTTCCCAAATGTGTTTCATATAATTACATGTGTTCAGACGTGAAGAGACCGTTTCGGTCTCCCTCGCAGTCGTTTTACGCTTGAAGTCGGTCGCTCGTCGCGCCTTCCCAAATGGTAGCTTAATAGGTATTATGAACGAACCAGAAATGAATGAACTCTATAGCAAAAACAGATTATAGTGTATTGATGCTAATTTTGACTATTTGAGTGATCAGTTAATCTGAAAACCCTTCCAGAACAATAAATATAGCAGATCAATTATGTTATAATGGCATCACCTGCAGACGTAATAACCAAAAAGTAACATCTTTTAAAGCAAAATCGAAATCCGAACACCTAATTCTCAGACCTTGTTCGGATTATCGAATTGTTCGGATTAACGAATATACAATAAAACGCCTCTTACACATTTTTAGACCTTTAAGATCTATGTATGTATATTGATTTTTGTACATTTAAATGCATTATCAAACTACATATGGGCAACGCGGGCCGCGCTGCAGGTCTTTTCCTGTCAGCGTTCGGATTACAGAGGCGGCGTTCGGACTATCTCGCATCACGATTTGCGTTCGGATTAGCGTAATTCGGATTAGCGTAGGTTCGGATTATCGAAGTTGCACTGTACTATTTATTAGAAGACCATCGTATATGATTTACTTCATATAAGTATGGTTTTAAATGTTGTTAGTCTTTTTTTAATGACGTTTATTAACTAAAATTCATTATTTATATATAGGGTGGGCCACCGGTAACGCCTCGGTCTGTAGAGCCAACACTATTTAATTTTTTTAAAATTTGTTTCCACAGATATGTATATCAGAAAAAGAAAACAATTTAAAAATAATTTTAATAGTATTTTTTATTATTCTAAGACATAATATCCCTGGTCAGGCACATTACAAAAAATAAAGTAAATAAACCAAAAAAAAATAATTCTACCAACATTAACAGATTATACTTCAGGGTTACTTAAGACAGTGTCCCTCTGGAGGGACAAATACACTGAAAGGGTTAAAAATAAATACCATTAGCAACCAATCATAGATTCGCTCCATTACAATTCCTACTTTATTCTAAGTTTATTATATTTTTATGTTGACTTTGAAACCCCAATACTGACAGTTCATTATTACTAACGTCATTAGTGTTGCGATATTTATTTTTAAAAAAGTCTAGCCAATTTTTTAATATGACCTTTAGTCGTGAATCAGAAGTATTTCTAGTGTTACTTAAGAAATGCTTATAAATGTGAGTTGGACCTTTGAAAACCATCTTTAGACCTCCATAAATATTATTGGAGGCTACTTAGAGAACATTTTCTAATAAAATATATAAAATAACACTCAATAAACTTAGAATAAAGTAGGTATTATGTGAAATTTTCGGTTGCTACTTTTATTTCTTTTTTACTGAATATGCGTAATAGTTGCATTAGGTATTGACAAAAACTTTACAATCAATATCAATAACCAATTACCAATTAACAAAGGGTCTATTTCCTATTAACCAGTAACCAGTTAATATTTAATTTTTGAATTTTTTTTTTCTCATTTAAATTTAAACATCTCCCAAAAATATTAACTTTAGGTATAGGGAATGCTTGACTTAAATGAAACTTTAATCAAGGTACTTTAAATGGTGATACAAAATTAAAGAAAAAAATATAGAAAGTGATGTATTTGAGTTTTGACTCACCCTGTACAGATTTGTTTTGAATTAAAAAAGTAGTGCGTTGACATTTTGAATAATATCAAAAAACGTTCACAGCAAAAAAATGGTTTTTAATTGTTTCTTTTTCAGTATACAAGTAATTGAAATCAATACGATTTTCATATAAAACTGGTTATAGCCTTTAAAATACCCTATATAATCTCATACTATTTGATATTGTTATAATGGGAAAAGCGAGGGCAATTCAAATATAAAATAAAATACAGTTGTCCCATTAAAAAAAAAACTACCTTTGATATGTATCACTTTCTTGGAGAAACCTGTATAATTGAAATTATTTTTTTTAAATTGTTGCATTTTTTAATATACATATCTCTACGTATTTTGAAAAAGCAAGTAGTTTAGGCTCTACAGACTGAAGCGTTACCGGTGGTCCACCCTGTATACAGGTTGGCTAATATGCTTACATTTTATATAATTTTGTCAAAATTTTGTGCCATTTTCGAGTGCTATTCGCGATTTATGTGCATTTATATATATTTTCGAGCCATTTTCGGCCAGTCGAGTCCTGCTCTAATCCCCCAAGTCCCTCTCTGCCTTATTTGGACCTCTTACAGCCTCAACTTTTCCGATAATGAAGAATATTGCAAAGAATAATGAACCTCCAAAACCCCCTAAGATACGGCTATGCTCGGTCACGGATACTCGAAGTGAATCATTCCGACCCTGGAATATACTAGAATGAACACGAAGCATCCAGATACAACGCATCAGTCTAATAAATAGTGAGTAGTAAGCTCTGGCGGATGCGAGAACACTCGGGTTGGCGACATTTTTATATAAATAGGCTGTTTCGCTGTTGGAAGTCAGTCAGTTCAAGTTGAGATATATCGCTGTGAGCAGATAAATATTGTCCATAAAAATTAGTGAATAAGTAAATTAGAATAGTATAGAGTAGAAATTAAGGTTATCAAATAAATCAGCATCTTAGGTATAAATAAATAAACGTTATATACTTTTAAAGGCCGTTAAATATAAAGGAATTTTTACAGAATAGACCCCTAACTCTGTTATTTATCATGTGATTTCAATCAAACTATAACGCCATAATGTTGTGTAAATTATGAAAAACTTTTACTTTTACACTGGAAAAAATATTAGTTGGATTTAAAAAATGATGTTATTAGAACACACATTTTTTTATTCAATATATCTATACAGGATGGCTCGACAAGGTTGGGATAAAACGTAAAACCTGCCATGTTTATTAGTCCAGTCCTTTCAATAAAATTTTAGATTCAAAATTTCTGATACAGCATATTTGTGATCTAATTCGCAAATAAATGACTTTGGATTATAAGTATTACATACATTTTTGTATATTACATACATTTTTGTAATCGTGTATTATTGGGCAATTCAAAAATGAAGAGAAAAATGTTATTCATGTACACAAAGTGGTGACGTCATTAGTACATCCAATTCTAGCATACGACGCGTAGATGAAAATCAAAACTGACCTGTGAAAGCATTTTGTTAAAATACAGATAGAAAAATATCGAATTTATTCCAACCTACATGTCCTCACTGTATATATCTGTAAGTGGTCGTAGGTAAAATATAATACGTAATATAATACTTATTACGCACTATACTAGGACATTGTTCATTATTAGGTATTCTTATGATAAATGTTTCATAATATATGATTACATTTTATCGCATTACATATTTATATTGAATTATCAGTTTAAAAAATTCAAGGACGTCTGCAAATTGAGTTTATCTTTTTTTCCTAACCTACCATCATGTATAAATGTTTTAAATATTAAATTGTGCTTTATAAAATTGTGTAACTATACTATAAGCACATTTATAAAAAATAATAGTATATTATGCAACGATCATGTAATGATCGCATAAACCATACGAAACTCACCTTCGGCTCGTTTCGTATCCCGGTTAATGCTCGTGTATTAATAACCCTTACATGAGAGTTGCATACGCTATTTTTTCTACACCCGATAAATAATCAAGAACTATAAATATTATATTTGTATTGAACACAATAACAGTAATTACTCGTATTTCTATAGAACATTCTACAAAATTGTAATTAATGGTATTATCTCGGGTATTGGTATTACCATAGATTTTTGGGGCAAAATATTTTGTACTGCATTTTCTGCTTTCTCCGATATGTGTGGAGGAGTCGATGTTAAGTCTTCTATATCGCCTGATATCAGACATTTTGATAATATAATTATCGAAGTTTAGCTATCTATGAAAATTTAATACGTACTGATTTTGACAATTAAAACAATTACATAGGAACCTAGGACAAACGTCAAATGCACAGCATGCTTGCACAGTATGCTTGATTGAAAAATTATGAGTTTCTATTGATTAAAATGGGTATCATTATGAAACGGATTATGGGCATATAAGTGCATTATTATAATGCGGGTGTAGAAAAATAAATTTACTTATACATATACCTATGAATAATAAAAAAAAAAACCCTGTACCTTTCCATGATGAGTGCACTTCTCTACTAAAGTAAACTGGAGATTTAAAAATGCCATTTGAAGTAAATTTTCCAAATCTTTTAAACAAAAGGTGTACTTTTTTAAACATATTTGTTAATATGCCAAATAAATTGAAATCTAGATATATTTAAATATATTTTTTTTCTGAAATTGATAAGTAACATAACTTGATTTGAATCTCTTTTATTACTAGCTTTCTTGCTTATACATGTTAGTCTGGCTTTTGAGATTCGTAAGATTAAAATTAGGCCTATATCTATTTATAGATTATTATGAATTCTGAGCTTACACATAAATATTAAAACCCTAAAAACAGGAGGAAGAATAAATATGAACATTTTATGACCATTTAAACAGTTTTGCAATGAAAATGTCAAAAATTCATGGCTGAATAGTTAACAATCATTTTTAATAAATGGTGATGTAATTAGCGCAAATTATGACTCAATAAATAAATAAATAGGCAATCTATTAGTACCTATCCTGAAAATCAATGATATAGATAACACGGCAGCAAAAAAATATTTTTTTTTTTTGGTGCCTGGGATTTTAGAGCTGATTTTAACTATATTTGGGACGCTAAATCTGTACATGCAATCCGTTTTTCTCTATCAGCTCTACTTTTTTAGATACATCAACTTATCTACCAATGTGGTTTTTATTTAGTATATTCATTTATGAGAGTTCTAAAATTATTATATATTCATTAATGTAGGTACAATGGTTTTATTGTCAGTCTGTAATTAAGTAAATTCCAGGTAAATCTATAAATAGTGGAACCATTGCCTATCAGGTACCTGAACTGACCCTTTTAATCCCCTAACTCGGGTAAGTCTCGTCAGTTTGTGCGTTCTTACAAATGAGAGTAGATCGAATTCGGCGTATTATTTAAGAAAGTTAAGAAAAGAGTGTTTTTGTGTTATTGAACAGAATTAAAATGAGTTCAGGTTCCAGTTCAAGAAGAAGTTGTGTAAATCAACCTGATGTGTTTTGCTATATATGCGGAGAATACATGTTTCAACAAAACAGACAAACTATTACTGACTTTGTAAAACGAGCGTTGGATATTTTGGAGTTAACCTTGGTGATCAGGACAAAAAGTGGGCCCCGCATCTCGTATGTAAAACTTGAATAGAGCATTTACGGCAGTGGACTACCGGGAGAAGAAAATGTCTAAAATTCGGCGTACCAATGGTTTAGAGAGAACCAAAAAACCACTTCAATGATTGTTATTTCTGTTTAGTAAATACTGTGACGAAACTCTAATTTATTTAAAGTTCATTTATTTAAAAACACACTATTTACAATTTATTTCAGATGTACTATTTAATTTATATAATATTTAGACACTAACTAACAATTCTAATTTATTTTTTACACTTTAACTTTTCAATACAATGTTCTATATTAAACTAAACTCGGCGCTGATACGTCGGCTATTTATATTAGTCCAACTCCGCTACTGGAAAATGCTAGAGACTCGCGAAGATTCTACCCCTATGACTAATCGGCACTCCCCTGCCGTTCCAGTTGCTTCCAGTGCATCAGCGGCAGACATTCCGTCGTATTCTTGTACATTCGAGACGCGGGCCGGCTGTTCGAAGCGCGGGCCGGCTGTTTCCACACGTCAGCGTTGCTTCGATCACGAGTCGGTTGCGTGCGTACACAGGGTAGGCTTTAAGAATTTTCATGACTCGGCAATACGCCCTATCCCGCACTCAGATGAAATACCGATTCCAACATTTCATCAGCTACCAGATATCTCTGATGACGAATATTTTCCCTCTGATCGCTGTTCTGATGCTAATGAAACTAGCTGTGACTATGAGGAGACGTCATCAGTTCCTCAACGCTTCAATCAAAATGAATTAAATGATCTCACCAGGGATCTCAATTTATCGAAAAAAGCTTCTGAAGTACTGGCTTCTAGGTTGAACGACAAAAATTTATTGGAACACAAAACCAAAATTACCTTTTACCGTAGAAGAGAAAAGTATCTGCTACCATTCTTTTCTCAAGAAAACAATCTTGTATTTTGTCACGAAATGGGACTTTCTGAATATATTCCAGATGATTGGTGCCTATTTATTGACAGTTCAAGGCGAAGTTTAAAATGTGTCCTTCTACATAATGGGAATATGGTTCAATACCACTAGCTCACTCAACGAAACTGAATGAAGAATATAATACCGTGGCTTTGGTCTTGCAGAAGATAAAGTACCACGATGATTTGTGTAGACTTAAAAATGGTAAACTTTCTTCTTGGGCAGCAAAGTGGTTACACGAAATATCCGTGTTTCTTGTGCCTTGGGATAATAGGGACAAAACACACCACTGGGTTAGAAAAGATTGGCCTCAAAGAGAAAACATGGACATTGGGGAAAAGAATGTCATTAACGACGCTTTGGTTGAAAGAGAAAAAATCATACTTCCTCCGTTACATATAAAGTTGGGCTTAATGAAGCAATTTGTAAAGGCTCTTGATAAGAATGGGTCATGTTTTGCATAGATAGGGGTAAAAATGCATCAGTTGAGCACAGAAAAACTCAAAGCAGGGATATTTGACGGCCCACAAATAAGAGAATTAATTAAGGATCCTGCCTTCATAAATTCAATGAATCAAGTTGAACGAGAAGCTTGGACATCATTTGTTGCAGTTGTAGAAAATTTTATAGGCAAACATAAAGCTCAAAACTATGTTGAAATGGTTAACAAGATGCTTAATAGTTTCAAATCCTTAGGGTGCAATATGAGTATTAAAATACACTATTTACACAACCACTTAGACCGTTTTCCAGAAAATTTAGGAGACATGAGTGAGGAATAAGGTGAAAGATTTCACCAAGACATTAAAGTTATGGAGGACCGCTACCAAGGAAGATGGGACATGCACATGATGGCAGATTACTGCTGGAGTTTAAAAAGGGACTGTTTAAAAAAACATTCAAGAATGTCGCGGAAAAGAAGCTTTCGAACTGTTGAGTGACTATTTGATTTCTTCAATGTTTTTTTTTGTTTGTAAGTACGACATAATATTGTATTTTGTATAACTAAAATAAAAATTTCGTATCTACTTTTGTTTACTACACTTACGGATTTGAGTTAAAATAATGTAACTTAAATTTCTCTAAAATTGTATATCTTAAAAATTTGAGCTCCTAGGTAAAAATGAATACGTTATTTGAATTCAGGACATCAAATTGATATAGAATCAGCTCAAAAAACCTCGACACCAAAACAGCTGTTCCCCTATGTAATAATAGTTATTTTCAAACCATTATTGATAAATTAAAAGCTAAACCTACAATTATTATTGAATAAAACATAAAAGTTACTAATATACCATCTAAATAAGATGTAGATCCGTCATATACGATAGTCGTTCCTCTACTCTCCTTAAATTTCGTGAAATACTCTTGGGCATATGTCACCACATCACCAGGCTGTTCCAACAAATAACTACATGTAAATTCAAGAAGAATTTCACGTAATTCATCAGGAACACGAATTCCAGCACGTTCACGTCTATCGCCCATTTTTCTTTTTAATTTTTCAATACACTTTTAATTTAGTTAAGAGAATTACAGGATTGGAAAGTTATGTTATTATATTGGTTCTCCAAAAAAGTTTGCAACTGTAACTCTCCATATTTAAAAACAAATCCAATTTGACATATACAGTTCAAAAAAGTGTCAATTATATTTTTTTTTCTAATTTTTAGATAGCAGTAGGATTCGCGTTTTAGTTTACTTTTGTATGTCAAAATGACAATTTTTTTTAAAACACGCCGATTTCTTCTTTTTTGTTTTCCTACATTACTTGTTTTATTTGTAAAAATGCATATATAGGGTGGCGAAAATTTAAATGCAGGTACCTAAACTGTTATTAGTGACTGATAACATAAGTTTTAGGTCAAACTTTCATAGTCAAACCCCATTATAATTAATAAAACAGTAGCGGCCACATTCTTTGATTTTCTTTTACTATACGGAGAATGGTCGCACTGCGCAGCTTTCTGAGTGCCTTTTAAAAGGAGATAGAAAACTCCGCCATTTTGATCCCTTATTACGACGTGTTGCCTACACCTTGGTGCAATATTTTTAATAGGTGCGTTTTTTTTTTCTTTATTGGTCTCAACTTATACAAGTTATTTAACCAGCACTAACATTAGTTACATGTAAATAAGTATTTGGCTCTGTAAAATTAAAAAAATAAGGCGAACAATATTTTTTAATCATCCGCTTCTGCTTCGGAATTGTCGGTTTTCTTGTTTTAATCTGACAGGTTAAAACGACTAAAGCGATAATTCCGGAAGCAGAAGCAGATGATTAAAACGCACCTGATATTTTGCTTGCTGCTGTCAGTGTCAGTCACATACTTTGATTTTCTTTACTATACAGTGCAAGAGAGAGGTCCGACCTCAGAGTAAGTAAGTAGTAAAGAGAGGACAGTAAACAATGTTTGTGTCGCCATGATAATATGGTAGAGAATTCTAATTAGAGAGAAATAGATTAATATCTCTATCTCTTTGTTTGTATTTGTCAGTTTTACAAAGCTTTTCTCAGACAATTATTCCAGTGTTTAATTTAAATTTGTTCGTGTTGTGGTGTTAAAAGTAATTGTTATTAATATTATATTCATAACAAAAAAGTCATATTTTGTTTTCACTTCATTAAAAATGGACCTACCTACCTTTTAAAACATTTTATTTTATATTCTATTTGATGAACATTTTCACATTTAAAATGACCCAGCGAAATTGTTTTACGGTTCGCTACTGCTGAGAATTCTAAAACGAGTGAGAAAGCCTTCATTAGAAAGAGAGATACTGATTATATGATAGCGAGTTTAATATTGTATAACTTTATGCAGTGGTGGCCTATCTGCTATTATATTATCTAAGGGTCCCACACGCCCAACATAGGGCGCGGCCATTTTGATTCCTATGCCACAGTTTATAGCTAAAGAATCAGATCGCTCACTCTGCGTCGGCACTTTTGATCTCAATGTTCCAGTTTATACACTGCACAACTCGGATAATACAATATATGACAACCGCCTATAATAAAACAGCAGTGTTCTGCGTATCCTGAATTTGTATCCCTGGAGTGGATGTTATTTTGGAACTTTCAACTGGTCCGAGTGAGCTAACTGATTCTTTAGCAATAAACTGTGACTCCAAAAATAATTAGGCATTCCAAACTGAATGGCTACCAGTGAGTTTTGACAGGTTATGATATGGCAAAATTATGGCAACCCTGTAGGCCTGGTGATTTGACAAGGTCAATGAAATAGATAGTTACATAGATTTTTTCAAAATAAACAAGCTTATGCCTTGAAGTAAAAATGTAAGCAGTTATTATTTTTAAGGCTGAAAATTGGTTTTAAAACACATCTTTGCTAAACCGATTCAAATTAATAAATATTTGCCAGGCAATATGGCCGCTCGCAAACGACCAGCTTTGAGCAATCTATATAATTATATATGTATCATTGACACTGTTAATGACAACAGGGTTGCCATATCTAAACTGTCAGTAGCCATTTGGACAGATGGTTGGAATTCCTAATAATCACTGACAGCAGCAAGCAAAATATCAGGTGCGTTTTAATCATCCACTTCTGCTTCCGGAATTGTCGGTTTAGTCGTTTTAACCTGTCAGATTAAAACAAGAAAACCGACAATTCCGAAACAGAAGCGGATGATTAAAACGCACCTATTAAAAATATTGCGCCAAGATGTAGGCAACACGTAATAAGGGATCAAAATGGCGGAATTTTCTATCTCCTTTTAAAAGGCATTCAGAAAGCTGCGCAGTGTGACCATTCTCCGTATAGTAAAAGAAAATCAAAGTATGTGGTGTCAGTGAATATTATTTTTGGAGTCACAGTTTATTGCTAAAGAATCAGTTAGCTCACTCGGACCAGTTGAAAGTTCCAAAATAGCATCCACTCCAGGGATGCAAATTCAGGATACGCAGAAGACTGCTGTTTTATTATAGGCGGTTGTCATATATTGTATTATCCGAGTTGCGCAGTGTATAAACTGGAACATTGAGATCAAAAGTGCCGACGCAGAGTGAGCGAAATGATTCTTTAGCTATAAACTGTGGTAAAGGCATCAAAATGGCCGCGCTCTATGTTGGGCGTGTCAGACCTCTCTCTTGCAGTGTATAGTAATCAAAGTATGTGTACTGTCCCTATTTCAATTGCATGGGTTGTAGAGAGAGGGGAGGGGAATTATATATATCATGGGTATGAAGACTAGAGATAAGGAGGCGAATCGCCCTTTGTCAAATTTCAAATTTCCGTCCCAATTTTTATGGAGTTCCAAAAAACTACTGTAGTTGGCGGGTGGCAAAATAACGACGTCTATTTTCTATGCAAGTCAATGGAAATTAAAGTGATTTTTGTAAAATTTAGTGAAAATAATAATCTGAAATAAAGAACCTGACTACAAGTAACAATGAGTAACAAAAAACGGCAAAGAAGGATTTGCTTCGTTCCGAGTTGAAAAACGGGATATAAATCCGATATAAAATTAAAGAAAACACAAGGAGATAAAAATCCAAGTCTTTTTAAAGCTCCTAGTGTAAGTAAAATAATGTATTTATTTCTAAATAATATATATTTATTGTAAAATAGTCACAACCCGTATCTTACGGAGTGTAGTTTATTTAATTACAAAATTCTATAATAAAAAATAATAAAGTCATAAATCCTGACTTACAAACAACAATGATTACACATTAAATTTAACTTACTAGAAAAGAAAATTTGCTTCTTTTATGTTTTTTGATGTTAGATGAAGAGTTACTACTGTTATTTTTCTTTATTGAACTCCAATTTAGTCATTGCAAATATTTTTTATAGGATCCTAAACGTTTAAAACAATGGCAGCATGTGATTCCTAGGGCTGATAAAGTACTGTCTAGTTATGATTCTGTTTGCGAGGTACTCTTTTTAGAAGATATTTTAAAATTTGATGAGACTATTTTAACTAATTGTACTGTTAACAAAATAAAAAGGGAAAGGCCGAGATTAAAGAACGAAGAAATACCATGTATATTCCCGAATCTCCCTTCATACTTGTCCAGTATTAGGAAAAGACAAAAACCATCATTGAACCGAACTGAATTTGTTAGAATAAAAAAAAGGAAGAAAATACTAGAACCTATTGCTGAAGAAACTGTTCACCAGGATGATGAAATTGTAGTTGTCGATCACAAAATGACCACAAAATTGTACTTACCAAATTTAACCATTTAACAAACCTTTTCAAATTTGGTCATACCTAATTTTCATTTTATTTAGATAAAATTAAATAATGAATAGTAAATAATGTTTAACACAGACTCATTTATAATTAATACCAACAGTATTTTCTGTACTTTAGTTAGCAATTAAAACAAAGACTTATTTATAATAATTAAAATCAACAGTATTTTCTGTGCTTTAGTTAGCAATAAACAATTTGATTTTTATTATTTTCATAAAATTTTGTAAAATCCCTAACTAAATATTTTCATTTAAACCATGTCTTAGTATGACCTCAGCCCTATTTAGCTTTAATTAAAAAATAATTAGCCCTACCCATCAAATTTCAACACTTATCATCAATAATTTGCATTTTACTTAAATAGGAATAAATAGTAAATAATGTATCAATTAAAATATGTAAGACTTATTTAGAAATAAATACAACAGTATGTTCTGTGCTTTATTTAGCTAACAAGTTTATTTTTATTATTTTGACAAAATTATGTATAATTCTCATAAGAAGCCATGCATTTTGAACTATGTAAACCGTACCAGTGCCCATGCGGTTAATTTTAAAAGCTCAATTGAAGTGTGATTTTTGGGACTGTATTTTGAGCACGCCGATTCGCCTCCTTACCTTTAGTCTTCATAATCATGGGCTTACTGCGAAAAGTGACCAAGTCAAATTTTGTATGATTGTAGTTAATATGACCAAGTCACTTGGTTTTGTTTTTTTGTAGATCTGAAAAAATTACTTTGTCATAACCACATAAAATTTGATTTGTCCAGTTTTAGCAATAAGCCCATGATATGAGAGTTGAATGTATTGATAGAAAGATGTACTTTTAGCAGTCTTGATTATTTAGAAATCCTTTCATAATGGGTTTTTAGCATAAAACATTTGAATAAATCACTTTTGACATTTTTTTTTTAAATTTGTAGTTATGATTTACATTTAATTCGGTTGCCTCTAAGAGAGATTACAAATATTTATTTCGATGAGGCCTACATACAATTAGGATTGAGCAAATAGGTTCGCCAAATTAGACTCTCACATTCTTCACAAAAATAAAATTTTTAGATAGGTACCTAGTACCTAACCTTAATTATTTTAGTTTTTTTCAAGAATCCTTTTAAGATAGGATATCTATCTATTTTTCTAGCACATTTATGGACTACCTAATTAAAATAAAATAGCAAGTTCTTATATTTCTAATAAGTAAATTAAAAATAGGCGAATAATTATTGAACAAATATAACTAATTTTAATTACCTTGAAATGGTCAGTATTCTATACAAATTGTAAAGATTATCTATAAATAAATATATCTAGTTTTCATTTGCAATATTTATAATTTATATAAAAACAATTTGAAAGCCAGTGTTCACTTATTTTATTCCCTAGAACGGAAATATTTTAGGACATTACACAACTCGGCGCGTACTTTAGATATTAAAGAAAATTACAAAACTTATCACATTGAGTTACTAAAAGCAGAAAACGCAATAAAATTAGTTAAAAACGAAATATACTTTTTTTTATATAAATGTACACTTACCTTTAGTTTAATATTTCGATCCTAAAAACACACCACCCAATCGAATGGAACCGGCTGCAACAAAAGTCAAAAAATTTACGAGATTCGTGATTGTCAGCGATCGACCTCGCGAAGGTTATTTAAAGGTCACGCAGTGTCTAAATGAACATATCCGGTAAAATAATAAAATCAAAATAATTAATATTATTATTATTATAAGACCAAGTTTTTTTATAGGTATTATTAGTAGAGGAGGCCATAGAAGTAGGTAGAGACTATTCAAAAGATAAAACAACAGATTGTGATAAATTTGGTAAATGTCTAGTAGCTCATTTCAATTACATAAAAATTAAGCATAGGTACTTGTAGGTATTGCTATTGTTAACAAAAAGTTCCATATCTTGTGCAAATGGATAATAAAGACACAAATAATTTTTAAAAAAAAAATATTTTTTTTAATGTCATTTTAAATGTCATTTACAAGGAATGTAGACAGTGCAATTTTTAACGTTCACTGACATGGGCGTAGAAAAACAATTGCTGCGTTTGAGAATCCACATCGGATGCATCTGAGATGTAAAAAATCTTTGATCACGTGATTCAGTATACGTAAATGTAATGGGACAGATGTGTCCGATGTGGATAAAAAAACGCTCGAGATGTAAAAAATGCATCCGATGTGGATTCTCAAACGCAGCAAATATTACCTATTATCTGCCACACATCATTAAATAGCGCGAAAATAAAACCACCTAATAGCCGTCACACCAAAAAAATGCGCGCAGACATTTCTGTAAAATGGCTGCCGCAGTTGCAGCTGAACCGTTTGGTAAAAATAAGCAAGAAAGACCATGGCAACAGCCTGAAAATAAATAATTACATTTATAGGATTAATACAAAATAAAAAACGACAGGTAGAAAGAAAAATGGATAAGTGGATTTGCGTAAACATGAATACTATATGGTTATTGTCATTCTTTTTGGATAATTAGCATAATATTGCTGCGTTTGAGAATCCACATCGGATGCATCTGAGATGTAAAAAATCTTTGATCACGTGATTCAGTATACGTAAATGTAATGGGACAGATGTGTCCGATGTGGATAAAAAAACGCTCGAGATGTAAAAAATGCATCCGATGTGGATTCTCAAACGCGGCATAAGAATGAGATTGAAATAATTGCTTAACTTTACGGTAACGGAAACTAAGACATAACGCATTATCTTTTTGCGCATATGTCAACGAATAATAGCGCCAACATTCAAAAATAAATTTTTAGATATATTTTTTATTCTTTATTGAATTTAAATACAATGATGAATGATTAAATTAAATAAAATACAAAAATGATCATAATACATTGGGTGATTTAAAAAAATAGGGGCTTTTGTACCCAATGCTGGACGCTGAACAGAATACAACACTGATGAGGACCGTTTTTTAGCTCCCCGCAGATAAATAGAAAACTAGAGGGGGCCCGAGTCTTATTGAATTTCAGTAAATTATGTTTATTGCTGGACAATAATATCGTTTCGCTAGACAAATGCAGCGTTTCGTTATACGTTTCCTGTACAAAATCAAATGCTAGACAGATTTAGAAAATTATGTAAAATACGGTACATATGGTTACCCTATATTATACACAGATTCTGTGTCCGTCCCCGAAAATATTAATGCAGTTTATGACATGATTTTTATCAGACTTATCTAATTGGACCATTATAAAATGAATATCTGAGGCACTGAATATTTCACACAAGCGCATCCATCATATAATTCACGTCAATTTGAACACGAGAAAAATTTCTGCAAAATAGATACCCAAATAGGGTTTCCACCTGTCCTTTTTTCAAGCAAAATGTCCTTGCGACTTTTTAAAGCTTAAAATGTCAATTTTTACTGCATATGTCTTGTTTTACTCTTTGAAGTTAGGTAGAAGGACGAAGACTTTTTTTTGAAGTTCAGTAGAAGGATGAGGACCTTTTGTATACCAGATCCCCTATCAGCATCATCACAGATCACAGTCCTTTATTCACTTTTCAAAAAGGTGGCAACCCTATCCCCAAATGTCGACCAGAAAAGCAAGTGCAAAGGTAGAAGCATCGCGTTCGTTTTGTGCTTGATTTGAAAAAGATGCAGACTTCTTTATTGCTATGGATGAAACTTTGTACCTTCCTACGACCCAGAAACAAAGCAACAATCGATGAAAGGGAGACACTCTGGTTCTCCAAGGCCTAAGTTTCGTGTTTAAAAATCTGCTGGAAAAGTTCTTGCTTCAGTTTTTTGGGATTACCATGGAGGAATCATGATTGATTATATGGATAAAGGTAGAAAAATAACTGGGAATTACTATTCGACGTTACAGACCACTCTATGAGAAAACTTGGAAAGTTGTCCAAAGGTGTTTCGTTTTTACAGGGCAATGTCTCTGTACACAATACGTTTTAATTTGGGGTTCGAATACCCCTTTATTTAAAAGATCTGGTTCCGTCCGACTATCATCTCTTTCCTGCACTGAAAGAAAGTTTAAAAGGTCGTAAATTTTCTTCAAACGAAGGTTAAGGTGTAGATCACTCTTTTGTTTCATAGTCTAAAATTTTGCTGGATCTGGTGGATCACTACCAATTTCTAAATCTCGAAAAAAAAAAAAAAAAAGTGAAGATTAGATCTATCTATAGAAACTTTCGTTGTGGATGAGTTTTAACGACGAACCAACAGTTTTCGAAAAAAAAAAAAAAAAAAAAAAATAGAATTGATTGCTTGATAGGGTTAATTATTTGATAATAAAGTCGACTAAACAAATTTTCAATTTTAATTGATTGTGCTGTGAGTGGATGTCAAAAAAGAAAAGTTAGCCGAACGAAAAACTGACTCCATCCAACTTTACTTTTTTGAAATCTACAGTGACTCACAGCACAAGAACCAATCAATTCTCACAAAGAAATATAGTATATTTCCTTATGTTGTAGGTATTTATTTAAATTTAAATATATAAATTATTACACTATTAATTATTATTGTTATAACCATCGTAATATAATTAAAATTAAACACATAACGTAATGTAATTTCTACAATGGTAATTACAAAAATATAATTTTAATGTACTTGATAAATTGGCAGCAAATTATCAATATTTGGCTTGAGCTTTGTAAGGAATAACCGTAAATCTCCCCTTTCTGTAATATTCAATCTGCTCCTTTTTTTTGTTAATAAGTTTGTAACAGCACTAAAACTTTATTAGACGAGATATGACGAGGGAAACGCTATCATAAGCTTTTGCACAATTCCCCACAGTCCAGGATATTTCGGGTATTTCTGCCTGCAGTCAAAATTTTTACTTCCGTTTCATCAAATGGATTTATGATCCATGGTGGTATTTCCGTCGACAGAATATCTTCAAATCTAGATTTAAAATCATCATGCAGAGCAATCAAATGTTGAACGTATGTCTGAATATCTTCATCAAGGCATTCTACCTGCGACTAGTTTAAAAACTATGAAAATTCGCGCCGACCAATATTTTCCTTCATAAATTTCAATTTACCAAGAAAAGTTGAAATTATACTTTGTTTTTATTAAATTGTAATTGTAAGTTGAGGTCATTACATTTTTTGAACAAATCTGTCAAATACGCGATGTCTGCTTTAAAATTGATCAAGTTTTTTTTTAATCAGGATCTTTACTTTCCAAAAACTCTAAAACTGAAGTAAAAAAAAATCTTGATAAACATGCACCTTTCAACAACCAGCCTGCTTCGGTATCTAACAGCAATCGTTAAAAGTCTTCATCATTTTCATCGCACAATTGTGCAAATAAACGCGTATTCAATGCATTGCTTCTTATTTTGTTAACTGCATTAATCACAAAAACTGTTATTCACTTTTAATAATTGAGATTTGAGAAATTCCAGCGAAGCGGGATCGGGCCAGCTAGTGCAATCATAAAAATAAGTGTTCTGGCCTTTATCTTGTTTTGACATAAACATCATTAGGAATCGGACTAAACTCATTTAGCAAAAATAAGTTACATGTATCTTATCTGGTTTTGGTAGAAACACTATTAGCAAATGAACACAATGCTGTGATTATATTTCGGTATAAATGCCACTCATCTGGTTTGTGCATGTGTATTATTGTATTATTATGGCTGTTATAGATCATGATAAATAAAATAAATTTGCAATATATTTTTATTGAGATTCCTTTTATTTATAAATAAAATTTTGGTACTTATTAACGTCTTAAAAAACAAAAATAAATAACATCTATTAATGGCATTTCGACATTTTCAGACATTTGACATTTCCTTGATGATAAACAGTTCGATATGAAAGTTATGATTCTAAAATTTGGCATTTGAGACTTACATAATAGTGAATAAAAATGTCAATGAAAATATCGAAACTATTCTGTAAAAAAGAGGCTACAAATCAGTCTAATTTTTACAATGTGTCTTAGAAATCTTAAAACAATTACATAATTGATGTAAATAGTAAATCACAATCTAACTTATTTGTTTAAATAAACGATTAATATACTTTTAACGTTTTAAAATTATAAGTCACATTTATACAGTACAATATATTTGTGTTTGTTTCTATTCTACTCCAGTAGCAGAACTTTTTTCATTGTATTCATGTAACTTTTTTTTGTGTTTTGGTAAATATTTATTAAAAAAAAAATAAAACTATTATTATATTTTCTTTAGATTCTAATTTTTAGAACTATTAAAATTAGAACATATTATATACGAGCAACAAATTGTAAATGTGTTAAAACAAAGCTCATTTTTTAAATATAAACTGGCAAATTGATTAAAACCAAATCAATAAAAAATAATAAATGCATAATAATTATTCAATTTTAAAAATGCATTATTAACAAAGTTTTCCTAATTATTGTAAACTTGTCTTTTTTAATTTCGTTGTACAAAGACTAGTATGCTTCTTTAAATACATAAAGGCATCTTTACAATACCATTCTAGTGGATCAAAAAACATACGTATCAACTCATGTGAGTGGATCTGTTTAACCCCCCTTCAATTCAGTAAAATGGCAAATCGACCCACTTCTAAAACAAAAGTGTAAATTTAACAATTAATTTTAAACAATTGATACAGTTTTAATCCCACATTGATACTTTTTTGACACTGTATAGAAGTCTTTAAACATCTTTTTTAAATAACTTTTTTTTAAAACTCAGAAATAAAAAAGAGGGAATTAAAAATAATCAGGGCCTGGATTTGTGTATCAAAAATTATCTTTGTCTGGTTTTTATCGTGAATCGCATGCTTATATATTATAAATTACTCGGTTGTTCACTGTTTAGTAGAATGTTTACATGAAAACAATGAATATGTTGAACAGAATAAACAGTTAATGGTTTATCGTATGTTTCAGCACTTCAGGGAATGGTGAAAACTTTGAACATATTATTTAAAGGACCGTATTGGATGCATTTTAATGTAAGTTTTTATGAAAAAGTTATTTGATCTTCTTCTTTATTTTTATTTGGGCTCAATCTTCAGAATTATTTACCCAGCACCATTTGTAAATGTTTTTCAATTATGGAACAAGCTGCGCTCTCACGCATCTGTCTCTAAGACAACACTTCTCCCAATGTTCATCACACCATGTGACAAAATTTATATTCTTCGATTTTAAAAATATTATCATACTATTCTTGATATCAAAAAACTAATCACATTAAAACAAAATTCATTTTTCGATGGCCATTCTTATTAAAGATTTTTACGAGAACACATACACACGTGACTCCCGATTCTGAGACTGCCATTTTAATGTTGACACCACGGTGTCAGAATCAGAGGTCCATTTAAAAAAGTTGTTTATTTTAATGACTTCTATACACAGTTAAAAAATATATCATCTGTATAATTTTCTTGACTCCAAACCACGTTTTGATCCACAATTACTAATTCTAAAACTTGGCATGAGTGACACTTATTCAGTAGTTTTATAATGTTAAATTAAAATGCTAATCGCTCCTATCACTTCTGTCTTCTTCGATTTTTGGCCTTTGCAATTTTTCCGGATGCGAACAAGCTAACCTAGAAAAGTCCCTGACTACTTCATTGAAGGTATCGTCGCCTGTCACGCCTATTTCAGAATCTTTCATTTCATCGTTTAGTCTTCCTAACCTCAATCTAGAAAACAATTATACAATTTTAAAATAATAAAGATAAGAATGATTATTATATGATGCTAATGTGTTCTTATGGTACTGCATCTGAGAAAAAAATTTGAAGTGACTTATCAACCCACTATTTTGATATGACTATTTATCTAGAATTAAATAACTAGTAATATTAGTTGAAGACGTTATTACATAGTAAATTTATTTATGTAAACGGATACTTACAATGTAACAATATCAGCATGTTCTTTTTGTTCGGCTATAGAGAGCGGTACTTTTCCCTCATCGTCTTCCAGGTGCTGATCTGCTCGATGTTTTAAGAACAAACAAACTTGCGCTGTATGACCTTCTTGAGTGGCAATGTGTAAAGGCGTTTTTCCGTCTTGATCTTGAGCATTTATTTTCACCCCATTAAGAATTAAATAGGCACATGGCATCACAGATCCCTAAAAAACGAGTACAAATCATTTAAACAATGAGTTAATATGCAGGGTAGCCCAAAAATATAGATACATATTACATATTCTCAGTAACACATATATAAACATGTTTACATAGTCGTCAGTACACATAAATCGTAAAATACACCACATTTTACATACATTAATATACAGCATACTCGTATAAAATTTAAAATAAAATAGGATTTTAAAAGATCATGGTTGACAATAGTAATAAAAAATATATAAAAAAATACAATATTAAAAATATTAGGTGACATGTTTCACTCTTACAAAATAATCGTTAGTGTTATATAGACACATATCCAGTAATATCTTTTTAATTTGATGTTTAAACTTTTTCCTGGTAGATTACGGATGTGGGGCGGAAGTGCATTATAGAATGAAATGTCTATTGTTCGGGACTTGTATATTCTAGTTCCCATTTCTATTAGCTGATTTTTCTCTCTGGTATCGTATGTACGATTGAGTGACGTGAAGTTTCCCAAATTATTTTTTATGGCTAGCAAGTTTTCAAATACTATTTGCAAAAACAGGGTCAATATGCTAAGTTGCTTAAATAGTGGTCGCCATGGTTCGTAATAATTTACCCGCAGAATAGAGCGAACTGCTGATTTTTGCAAGATAAAAAGTCTTTGTAGTGAAGTGAAGCTAGCATTTCCCCAAGTTAGAATCCCATATGTTAAATTGGAATGCAATAAGCCATAATAAGTAGTTATTGCTACTTCTGTATTAACTATATTTGATATTCTACGTAGAGCAAAAGTGAATTCTGCCAACTTGTTGCATAAGTTATTTATTTGATAGTTCCATGTAAGTTGTGTGTCAAAATATATACCGAGAAATTTAGTGTTCATTGTTTCACTAGTAGTTTGGTTCAACCTGAAGACACTTGTTTCAGTTTTATAGTGATTTAAAAATAATTCGTTGCTATCAAACCATTGTTTAGCTTCAGTCATAATCTTAGAGTTTTGGATAACTATGTCAGATGTGTTATTGCAGTGATATGAGAAATTGGTATCATCTGCATACATGGTAGTTAGTAATTCGGCATTATTTGAATTCATATATGATGGAAGATCATTGGTACATATTAAAAATAATAGAGGGCCTAGTACGGATCCTTGTGGAATACCTCTTTTCATTAATAAAGGTTTACGAAGTTTATTTCTGTAATATACACTACATATAAAGAATCGGCAAAAAACATTCAATTGTATTCACAAGAAATGTTTCTAAAGTAGGCCGTAAAAAAAATTACATATGTTGTAGAATACAACTGAAGAGTGGTAGTACCAAAAGCACTAAGTACCAAATTCGCAAACATAAAATAAATAAGAAAACAATTTTATTAAATGTATCTTTTTTTTATCTTTTATTTTAATCTACATGTAAGCTTTGAAATTATATGGCACATAAACCTATATTGATATATTGGTATGGTATTTACAACCGTTTTAAGAACATACCCCAGAATATTTAGAATTTCGCACTTAGTGCCTTTGGTACTTCTACTCTTTAATTCTTCTTATTAGGGACATGTGAATCACTCTCTGAAGAGTATTATAGGTTTACTTTCAAGAAACCAAAATTTTTAATATTGTCCCAAATTTAAAAATGTACCAAAATCTTTTTCATCATATTTTAAACAACTTTAAAAAAACTTGAACATTTCATGAAAATCAACCAATATAATAGTCTGTCAGGTAGTGACAGGTTTAGGTGTCCCCATTTTCGCATACAAGCTTCAAAGAGGGCTGAAAACTACATCGATTTTAAGTAGAATGAAAGGAAATTTACGAGTGGCTGCTGGGGAAAACACATGGAAAATTCGATTTTCCTTAACAAAAACGAAAGATTATTTGTTGCCCATTTTTCCACCCAAGCCGTTTTCTCTATATGATTAATTAATAGAACTAGGCTTCGGAAAATCAAAGGCTTTAAATGTTGCAAGTGGCTAAAGGGTTGAAATATATGTCGTCACTAGTCCAAAAACATATTTTCTTGAATGACCCGAATGTATAAGTATATTTTGGGGTCGGAAATTTTTTCTGATAAGGAAAATCGAATTTTCCATATGTTATCCTCAAGAGCCACTAATTTTTCTTTTATTCTACTCAACATCGATGTACTTTTCAACCCTCTTCGAGGCTTGTATGCGAAAATGGGGCACCTAAATCGGTCACTATCTGACGGTCTATAAGGGAACAAAGCCTATTGATTTTGAAAAAAAATCCTTATTAAATATGGGCCGAGGGGGGTAGAAATTAAAAAAAAAGCATAAATCAAAAACGCAACGTGATATCAACATGACATTTTTAGTAAAAATCGAGTACGAAAGCCGTCAAAAGTGTATAACTTTAGATAGAAACGAAATATATTATAAAAGCCAACCTTTGCATACCAGCAAATTTAAATGAAAATTATTTGTAGTACCCCTTCTATGTCCTATCTCCTCACTTCGTTATATATTTGGATAACTTTTATTTCTGTAACAGTTAAGGATGGCAACGATATATCGATGTTTTGTAAATATCAATAAATTACATAAATATATCGATATATTGTAATCAATATTTTGCTACCGATATATCGAAAAATATCGATATAATCTCCTCGATATATCGAAAACAAAATTAAGGCGTGCGCATAGCGCATGCGACGTTTGGTTGACGCTGACAGCTAAAACGACCCTGGGCGTTCGCAAGGTTCTTTATTTTATTTTTGTATTTGGTTTAGTTGTATAAATTTGCACATTTTCAGTTTTATTTTCGGTGTCCAGAGTCCAAAGTAGTTAAATAAAAATATTTGTCTGCAATAACAGCTTCTGTTTCAAGTAAAAGACTATTTTTCCAAAACTGGTTTGACAGCAACGAAAAGCTGAATCCGTTTATTTAAAAAAATATATATTGTATTTTATTAGCTGCCTGAATAAACATAAAAACAAATTTTAACTATTTATAAATGAGTTTTGTTAATTTCATCAAGAATATATCGATATATTCAAAATATCGATGTTTTTTATTTGACATATCGAATGTATTGATATATTATTTCGATATATCATGATTCAATATATCGATTTAATTTTTTATATCCCTAGTAACAGTCTAGCGAAAGGTTAAGATTAAGTTCCTCTCCCCTTATAACTACTTGGCAATTGAAATTGCCAGAAGTCAGGTTGTTTATTAATTTATATATTTTTTTATAATAACTTATTTTGATACTTCACTTGTCACTTTCCTTTTATACAAATTATATTAGCTTGAATTGAATCATGATGACACCGCCATTCTAAATATTACGTTACTACGTTATAATTTGGTTGAATTTTCAAAATTTTATATAGAAATTCAGTCTGTTAAAATTATCGGAAATACAAAAGTTTATAAATTTTTATTTGTTGTTAAATTAATCAATATTTTGGAACTTGTTTTTTATTGTAGGATTTCTTATTGAATATACAATAAAAAAAAAATTATTGGAATTAAGTTTATCTAATACTTTTTAATTTTATTTAAAACACTTAGTGTCCAGTTAATTTTGTAGTGCAGTGTATTTAAATGATGAAATCTTCAATAAATAAAGATTCCACAGTATTCATTCTTCGTTATTTTTGGGACACCCTTGTAAAGTTTAACGATAAATAATCTAGCAGTAGCTATTAATAATAAAAAAAAATTACACTAAAAACGGCAGCGTGAAGCGGACTTCTACTCCTATCTTCTGGATTTATCCAACATTTATCGCCACCTAGAGCTAAAGCTTCGCACATGACCGGTAAATTATGAGCAGCAGCGGCTTTATAAAGCAACAAGTCTGGTTGCAGCTTAGAGATATCTTCTTCGCCTAAAAATTTAAAAGCATGAAATTTATCTAATCAATATAAAAAAAATTGGCACAATATCCAGTAAAAAATTTGAAACGATTAATTTCGGCATTATTTGCTCAAATAAATTAATAAACATGTCGGACTTACCGACAGTCTCGTTTTCTTCCTCTCCCCCCGTAGATTCCTGATCGCTGCTTAAATCTATGGGTCCGTCTATCGGCTGTTTGTCAAGATCGCTTCCGAACAGCAAGATACTATTTCGTTTCTTTAAACTGCTTCTTTTTGAAGATTCGCTGTTTGTATCTTCTTCTCTTCCGCTGCTACTGCTAAAGACATTTTCAATAATTCATTGGTTAATTCATATTTAAATAGCAGAAATAAGAAGGAAAAACTAACACAAAAGAAAGAAAATAGTACAACCGTTAAAGCAAATGGAAAATAAAATATAATAAAGAAAAATTGGAAGGAATAATAGAAAGCATAGTTATAAGAAATAGCAGATGAAAAAAAGACTAAAAGAGAAACATTGAATGACCATAGGACACGAAAAGCTGAGCTTTTTTATCTTAAATATAAATTATTAAATACAAAAAAAAAAAAGAAAAGTTATCCAAATAATAATACCTTGTTTCACCAATTTCTGCGATTTTTTCTATTTTCTTAGTCACCTCTTCAACTTTAACATGTTTTCGATCTCTCTTATCGCAGCTTCTCGGTCTTCTTCTTATTTTTCGAACACTCCACTTTCTCACGTCCATCAAACTAGATGGACGTGAATTTCTTATAGACGACGGTGATGTTTTGTTAAATTGCGGTAGAGATTTTACGTATTTTTTGTCTACGTATTTGGCTTTTATGAAAGTTTCTCTAATGGCCCTAAAGTTATTTATAAACTTCGTATTATTATAATAATTATTATTAATGACGATTCTAACTTACCCTGGACATTGTTCTGAAGGACGTACAACATCATCAGGCATGGTGGCCTCGTATATTTTGTTTACTACAGCATTGCCCAATTCTACCATTACTTTAATAATTTCCGGTTCCCAATCGTCTAGAGTTAATGATCGTACTTTACTGTAATGTACTCCTAAACTTCTGTGGACACCAGAACACTCTAAAAAATTCAAATAACTTTTATTTATTTATTTATTTATTTTAGAAACTGTTCTACAGGAAATTCCCAATTAAAGAACAGGCAAAATATGACAAAACAAATATATCAGAAAAATACAACGAAACATATTTCAAAACAAAAGAATAAAGATTTAAGAAAAAACGATAAAATAATCACAAAAGCAAATGTTTTATGTCCAAAATTCTAATGTTAATGTTAAATATATCCAACTCAGAGTTAATGCTATTGTGTTCTGTTGGTGAGATATGATGTAAGAAGCCGAATAATATTGTTTGAAAGTCCAAAAGAGGTTAGTTTTTTTTTACCAAAATACCGTGGTCAAGCTGATCAAATGCCTTTGTCATATCCGTATAAATAACATCTGCGTAATTATGGAGAGATTTGTAACTGTTGAACAACCTTTTACAAAGCCATGTTGTCGATCCGATATTATGTTGCGGACGTGTTGGTAAACTGTACGTTCCAGCAACATTTCAAACACTTTACTAAAGTTACAGATGATAGAGATAGGGCGATAGTTTTTCACCTGTTTTATTTCCTTTTTTATATATGGGGCAAAACTTAGACTCTTTCCACACTGACGGTATGGTTTTAGTCCGGATGCAGACATTTATAAGTACAGTTAAAGGATGCACTAGTGCTACATCACAGTCTTTTAAAAGGAAAGCAGGAATATGGTCAGGCCCAGTGGTCCACTTGGGCTTTACTGATTTTAAAGTATCTAATACTTGGTTTTCTAAAAAGCTAGTAATGTTTAAGTGATATATGTGGCTTTGGTTTATCGGGACATTTATGGCTGAAGACTGCACATAAGATTTACTAAAAAAGGTAGCAAAGCCATTTAATATATCTGATGGATTAAGAAGAAAGTTACCTTCATAGATAATGGTATTACCAACTTTATTGGAGCATTTATAATTATTGATGTAAGCCAAAAATTTATTGGAATTAATCGATATTTCTGATTCAGCTTTTTCAAGATATTGTTTATAGGCTCTATCGACATCAACTTTAACTTGACTTGATATGCGTCTAAACTCCTCAAAAGCATGAATATCATTCTCTCTCTTATACTGTCGCCAGAGTTTGGATTTTTTGCGAATTAAATTTATAATAGCGACATTGACATTTTTATTTATAGATACATTATACTCACTGCTGGAAATGAAAATGGTTTGAAGAACTGTTACTGAAAAAACTTAATAACCCCTCGCATATTCAATTTTTACAGCCAATAAAGTTCCCATAAAAATATAAAGCAACTGGATTTAAGCAGATACAAGTATTAACTTTTAAAAATTACCTATACATAAAGTTATTCCTAGGTTAATACTAGCCCATCTAGGATTGGCACTTCTACAATCACAGCAATAATTGTTACCGGGTATTTTTAATAACTGCTCCCACATCCTAAAAAACAACAAACTAATATGTAAAATTTATATTTGTTAAATAAATTGACGGAAAACTATAATTTTCTTTAGTGTAAATGCATGATATTATTTACAATAAGTAGAAAAATAGGATAATTAAAATGTAAATAGTTATTCTATTTGTTTACAAAAATACGTTACCTCTTTTTAGTACGGTTATTATTGTCACTATAAAGTTGTCTACTTTGGCCCCTACCAGTGATATCATTGGAATATGTGATGTTGTTATCTCCAAGTTTTAAACGATCAAAATCGATACTTTGAATCCGTTGAATAGCGGCACCAATTCCTTTTTGTAAGGCTGTTATCCAACAATCATACATTTCTTTCGTATCGGCTTGCAACATATGGCTTCTAAATAATAAAAAAAAAGTTTCATAAACAATGGTTTAGTCATCTTCACATCCAATTTTTGAATGGGAAAAAATCCACATCTAAAATTATAGATTTATTTAGAGAAATGACTTACTTCAGAGGAGACAAAACTTCAAAACAAAACCGTCTTTCACCATCCAATACAGGCTTGACAGTACATATTCTCAAGTCATCCTCCATGATTGTTTCGTGTTCTTCACCAGACCTCTTCCTATAAAAAAACAGCTCAATTTTTTTCAAGTCTTCTAGTGGATCATGATTGAACAATATTACGTCAAGGGTAAAAATAAGGCATGGAAATACACATCAATTTTGAACTAAATTCAGTAAACAACAGCAGACAGAATGAACAAACAAAAAATAATTGAATTTAAATCCACAGTAACAAACGCCAAGATGGATATACTGATTCGGATTAAATTTTTCTTGGACATTATAGTACAAAAATACGAGGAGTAACAGAAAGAAGAATATGCATATGAAGCGAGAATAAGAGAGAAAGCAGAAATAAGCCGCTGTTAATTTCATGACGCCGACCAGGCCCGCGCCGTACATAAGGGCAAAGTCGTATAAGTTTTTGATTATGTAATGTACATCAATGAGAAAATACTTGTATGGCTTGTACTTATAAAATATAAAAATGAAAATAAATTTATGAAAATACTTCTAAAATTATTTTTCAATAGTGGATAATAATACCTAACTTAACCCGTATCTGAACTCACATATGAACGTAATACAAATTTGGGGCGTTATTTTAAATTTCCACAAGGGCGCCAAAAGTGCTAGGGCCTGACGCCGACCTATCTCATCCTCCGACTCCGACACGCAAATAGAGTGGGATTTAAGGCATACTCACTCTTTATAAAGCTCCTGTTAATCGGCAATGCCCAAGAAAAATTAAGGCAGAATATGTATGTAAAAGAAAGAAATAAGTTCAATTGTATCAAAAATCTATACTTAACTATTGTAGAACTAGGGGTAAAATAATATTCACTAATAAAAAATTTCCCCTACCTATAGACTAACTTATTATCATACAAATAAAACCATCTTCTATTCCAAGTCTTAAAAGCGTTTGATGTTCTTTTAAATAAATAACCCTCCATTGTTGGGCCATTTTTCTCTTTTTTTATTGAAATTGGTTCGAAATTCGACACTACGGAATGAGTATTTTCGAGTTCCTTTTGTACTTTGTAAGTTTCGCCTCTCATTGTTCCTATCTAAAATAAAATTGAATTTGATTAAAAATTATCCCATATTTTAATATTTCTAAAATAATCTAAAACACTAATGCTTTTGTCTGGAAGATAAATAGTATAATATACACCAAGGAACTGAAGTGGCACTGTGTACAATTCGTTGAGGGATAAAACAACTTTAATTTTTAATCCCTAGGGAGTTAAAGAGTCATTAAGTATATTGCACATTTAATCCCTAGTACATTTTTAATCCCTTAGCTTTAACTATGTAAATTGCAAATATTTTGTGCGCCACTCCCACCTCCTCCATCTTCCCTGATAATACATTTTTTATATTCTATCTTTTTCGAGGGGTTTGAGTAAAAAAGGCTTAAACAAGGTTTTGAGCGAAAGGTAAACCACAGGTTCAAATTTTGTACACTAATACCTTTAGTACCCATTTCTTTGAAACAATACACACACTAATACCTGCCAATATCCCCAATAACCAGGGAAATACCCACAATGCTCATTAAAATACCTCTAATACCCACAAAACAAAGTAGTTCCTAAAAGGTATTTAATCCAATTTTTTAATTAAATCACTTTAGTTTACATACATACATATGCAAACTAGTTCAAATTACAATTACATACAATTTACACATAATAAATTGTTTCTTACTATATTGAAAAAATTTAAAGTTTGTACTATTGACGTGTGTAAATTTTTTTTGTATTTTAATAACATGAATAAACTACTCTACTCTATAATGTTGAATATTGTGACAATGTCGTGTGAAAAATGCCACTTTCCACACTCATAATGTAATATACTATATTTGACAGTCATACAAACATTTTGACAGCACCTAAACCACTTTTCAACTTTTGGTTCCCATTGCAAAAACAGGCCACTTTTCGCAAGGTTGCAATTTTTTTGCATATTAACCCTTTTGCCGACACAAAAAAATGCTGCAGTACAAATTTAGAAAAAAACGCGTGTAAGCTATATCCCAAATTTCGTTAAAATGCTTACAAAAGGGATTTTTTATTGTTATCGACGTCTAGAAGCATATATTTCATTGCCACCAAAAAGCATTTTAGTTTGAATTTCACAGGTTACATGACCGCTCCCACTACCAGGACATAGTACATGTTATTCACCCACCTCCCCCTGTAATAACTACAAATAGCAAGCAAAAAATATGACGAGCCGCTTTTTGCAGTCACATGGGCTTTATTTAAATGATAAATCAATATCATTTTTAGCAATTAGAAAGTAATGGTCAATATTCCTATCTTGTACATATACAAATTATTCATTACGGGTTTTCAAACAAATCGTTTATATTTTTTCAAACCGGCTTTAACAATCCTTGCTCGATACCTGTAAAAATTCAAAAATAATAAATAGTCAAAACTTTCACTTACTTCGTCAGCCAACGTTTTAAAAAACGTTTCCAAATCGGCACACAAATCCGAACCTTGATGATAATACGTTGTGCAGGCGTGCATATAAGACAGTAACTGCAAAAAAATAATAGCTACTAAAAATCACTAATATAAAAAAGTAAACGCCGATGTATTGATTCTATTCTCCATTCACTAGTTTCCGATTAGATAAGATAAAGCATACACGGAAAAATAACATTTTTTTTTTTAATTATAAGATGGGGACTCCTTAGACCAAATTAAATACGAACATTAAAAGCGATGGTATGTGAGGTAATTTATGTAAAGTTAATAATTAGTACATGAAATATTTCCGAGTATTAGTCATCACAATAATCAATAAGAGTTTCATTGCATTCATAATGAATAGTTTAGTTAGTAGTTCAAATTGTGTGTATAAAATGCCAGCAATAACGGAATATTGGAAATTAAAAATGTAAAACATTTATATATCAGTAGAAAGTACTATTTTGACGAGGAAAAGTGATACATGTGATCTACTGTGTGAAAGGTGTAAGTTACTGCAACTTTTAAGAACAAACATTAAATTTTGATGAACAAAGGAATCATTTTTTATTAAATTAATCTCGCGTTTTTATATCATTTAATTAAATTATAATAGATATTTACCGTGCTTAATATCTCGTGTCTCTTTTTCGATTGCAGCACACTTATACTGTTAATGTAATCCAAAGTGTTATGACCAAAACACGACCTAACAGCTACCAAAACATTTTGTATTTCTTCGACTTCCTGTGGTTTACTGCGAGGGGTGTGAGAATTTCTTAGCAAAATGTTGTCATATTCTGTAGAGATTTTTTCAAAATGTTGTTTATAGTCTCTAACACCTTTAATATCACTGAAAAAAAAAAAAAAAAACCGTAAGTAATAAACCAATCGGTGAAAAAATGATCTGAAAGAAAGGAAAGAGTAGAAAAGCTCCATATCTATATGTACTTACTTTTTTATAAACGACGTAAGATTCTTCAAAATTGTTCTGGAAGCTTGATCTAACAAAATTGTGTGAAATTTGTTCATTTCCTGAAGGCTGTGAATTAATTTATTCAAAGATGACAAAACCATTGGATCCTCCTTGAAATGGGTGCTCAAATCCCATAAACTGTTCGCAAATAGGCTGAAATTAAAAAAAAAATCATATCGTTGCTAATGACCATAAAAAATCATAGCAGTAATAGTATAGTTTTACGAGAGACGAATATAACATTTTTTGAAGCTAGTCGCAGCTGAGATTTTCTACGGTATCGCGTATGTCATATACTAAAATAATATACGTAAAATTATTTTTTCCATTCTTTGCATCTCTCGTGCTATCAACCAGATCCGTTTGAAGCATATCGGCACTGTAGCTCTCAAGGATTGAGGAATCTAATACCATACCCATTCACTTATTCATTCCCCTATTTATTCCCTTATTCATTCACTACTTCGTTCTGAAACTGAAATAGACAGCGCAGAAGAAGAAACTAGAAAATAATTCTCAAAATCAAAAAGTACCTAAGAATAAATTAGAGAGGACTGGTTATTCATCTAGCTCCACGTCATAATGACTAAAAGCCAAAATCTGAAAAAGTAAAAGACTTTCATTTAACTAGTTTTATTTCGTTTGTTTTATGTATTATCTAGTATAAATAAAAACTATTATCATTTATAATTTCTCAAATAAACCTTATTTTGTACACATAGGTATCAGTTAATTTTCAACTAAGTATATTTCTTTTTTTGTATTACAAATAAAAATTATGTTATTTTATTTTGGAAATTTAAATATCTGTTCGCTACTGCCGAAACTAAATCATATTAGAAATATTTTAAATTCAAATCAGTATGATGTTTTCGGTCTATGTGAAACGTGGTTACATCCGGGGATTTCTGATGAATTGGTATATATTGATGGTTATCAGTTAGTGAGATCTGATCGATTATCTAAACGCGAAGGCAAAGTGGCATTCTATATTAAAAGTAACCTTCAATTCAAAATAATTAGCAGAGAAAATTTAGAATTCTTAGAGTAGATTTGGCTTGAAATAAAACTTGACAAACAGAAATATGCATTTTGTACATTGTATAGACCTCCTGCACATAATCTTTTATTGTTTTTAAACACATTTGAGAATTTACTTCTCGATATATTTCTGAGATATGATAAAATTGTGTGCATGGGTGACTTTAACATTAGCTGTTTGTGCACAGAAACATCCTCTGCCGAGCAATTGCTCTCTATTACTCATTCTTTTAATTTAAATTTAAAAATTTCTGATCTTACACATATTTCCAATAACACCATGACATTAATCGATCATTTGTACACAAACTTTGATATTAATAATTCTGGTGTTTTTGATGCAATGATAGATAGACATTGGATAGTATATGAATCTATGGAAATATCTTTACAAAATGCAGCTGATGAAAAGTTATTACAATTTCGTAATTTTACATCTATAGAACCAATTTCAGCTAGAATTAGAGAATTTAAACTTGGACAGTGTGTATAATATAGAATGTATAGATAATAAAATTGAATTTTTGAATAATGCAATAAGGCAACTAGTAGATAAGCATGCTCCTTTACACATTAATACGATATATACAAATTAAAAACGTGAACCTTGGATTACACCAAACATTAAAATCATGCCGAAATTAAGAGATATGGCTCTAAAGAGATATAAAAAAATCAAAACTGCCCGCACATTTTGATTGTTATAAAGAATTACGAAATTATACTTCTTCAGCTATTAAAAGGAAAAAAAGAGCCTATCTTGATTTCAAATTACGTAATAGTAAAATTAAAGAAAAATAGAAAGAGCTTAAACAATTAAGCATAACTAGTAACAAAAAAAGTTGTGAACTGTCCACTACTGTATTTGATGTTAATTGTATAAATACATTTTTTGTAAATCCTACTGATTACATAGCGCAAGCGCCAGATAATGAAATTTTGAACTCTTATCAAGGTAATTTAAAAGACTCTTTTCTCACATTTTTCAGTGTGTCCGTATCAGATATCATTGAAATTGTTAAAAGTATTAAGACCAAAGCATATGGTCATGATGGTTTAAATAGTCAAATTATTATTATCTGTAGCCCGTTTATCATTGAATTTATTACTCATATCATAAACATGTGCATTAATAAAACCAAAGTCATGGAAACATGCAATGATAACTCCACTTCCTAAAATTGCTAAACCGTCAGAGTTATCTCATCTAAGAGGTATTAGTATTCTGCCTACTTTATCAAAGATTCTTGAGAGTTATTGAAAAGAAATTAAGAATACATTTAAATACCAATAATATTTTGCCTTCTCATCACTTCATCAGTATGGATTTAGAGCTGGTTATAGTTGTTATCCTAATTTTAATTGACTATTCTAGAGCTTTTGATACTATAAATCACCAGTAGATCAGGTCGTTGATTTTCCTTAAGGACGGAGTAGGGGCCTTCCCAATTCCGTCGCGATTTCTGACAAAATCTTCCTCGATGCTTGGGGATTGCGAAGCCGTACTGGGTCGCCTCTCTCAAAATGTGTCCCTGTGGCACGCCTGTCGATTCTAGCTTCTGCTTTATCGCTGTTGGCTTTCAGTCGTTCCCGAGTGAATCCGTAAACACTTGTGCTGCCATTGCATACATCACATTTTTTACACCAATCCGCTACATCCCGTCGGTAATTGACCCAATAAAATCTTTTCCGAACTCGTGCCCAGTGTTGCCAGAGTCACTACAATTGTAGTAGATTTACTACAATTTAATGGTTCTAGTACGTTACTACACTTTTTTAGTATCTGCTACATTTTTAATATTTCTACTACAATCTACTACATTTACATATTAGGTCAATTTACCTTTATACTTCCAAGAAACCTAATTTCTGTTATTTTCTTCGCAAAAGAACGTTGGCGCAAAATATAAGTGGCGTACAAGATCGTTTAAAAGAACTAGTTCCACACTTATTTGTCCTTGGTTATACTTGCCACTCTTTTCACCTCTGTGCCTCAGCTACCCAAATCAATAGAGCACTTTGCCAGAGAAATTAACAATTATTTTAGTAACAGCCCAAAGAGATTCAAAGAGTTAGAACAGTTTCAATCTTTTTTGCAAATCAAACCAAACAAAATGTTACGTCCAAGTCAAACTCGTTGGCTTTCTCTTGGAATCGTGGCTAAAAAATTCTGGACAATTGGGCGCCATTAAAATTATATTTTCAAGGTGCTGTATTAGTAGACAAGTTACAGTCTTGCGAAACTCTTTTAAATTCACTAAACAGTAGAATGTACAAATTATACTTTTATTTTTTAAATTTTGTTTTAGATTTGATTAATAAAATTAACCTAATTTTTCAGTAAGAAAAACCAAAGATAACGACTCTCTTTCAGAGCATCTGTAATCTTTATAAGGTACTTTTACGATGCTTTATAAAAATAAGTGTAGTTGATTGTGCTCCTTTAAATGACATTGACCCGAAAAACAAAAAAAATCAGCTAGACCCTTCGTCTATGTATTTTGGGGCATACGTTGAAAAATATATAGAAAAAAATAAAGATATTTTAACAGAAAATAATATACAAAGTTTTAAACATAAATGCTTGGCATTTTATACAGAGCTGTGTACTCAAATTAAAAATCGTTTTTCTTTTGAAAACACATTATTAGAAAATCTAAACGTTTTAAAGCCAAAAATTGCGTACTCTGGCAACATTCCTAGCTTGACTAAACTTCTTAATTGCTTTCCTGCTTTAAAAGACAAAGTCAATATTGAAGAACTTAATTAAGAATGGAGAAGCATCCCTGACTTAAAAGAAATGGAAACACATTTAGATGACTTAGAGACCTTTTGGTCTCTTCTGTTATGCCAAAAAGATGGCGATAACGATTTTCAGTTTCCAAATTTAATAATTGTTTTTTCTTTACCGCATTCCTCGGCGTCAGCTGAACGAATATTTTCACAATTGTTTTTAATAAAAACTAAACCCAAATGCGCTAGTTCAGTGATGATGTAATTATGGTTCCACTGACAATTAAAGTGACAGTAGATTTTTTAAAGGCGTTTTGTTCGTTTTGTTTACCTAAATTATATAGTTTTTTCACTTTTATATATTCCTAAAGTAAGTAGATCGCATGTATCAAATATACAATCGTTTAGTTACCAATTACATACCATTAAACTATTTTTTATGTCATGTAAACAATATTTAGAAATAAACTAAAAACAGTAAAAACGTATATGTCAAATCTATTGATGTTTTTGTTAAAAGTTTGGTTAGAATTAAATGTCAGTGGAACCAAAATGACATCACACTGAACTAGCGCATAGTTTACTTATTGAAACCTGTCAAAATTTGTAACAAGGTTTGTTATAATTTTAAGTCAAACGACGAAATTTTAAAAAGAAACGTCTATCCAAAACAAAACCAAGACACTGATTTACCAGATGTAGCACTAGCTGCACAACCTATTCAATACATCGACACTGAAACTATCTAGTATGATGTGTAGATTAGTTTTAGCCATACTCAGCATCTAATATTTAGATATATATTTTTAAAAGAAGGTTTAGTGCGGTGAAAAAATATAAAAGATAAAAGGATTATTGGGCAAATACCGCAAAAAAATGAAAAAAAAAAAAAATGCCTAAAGGCAAACAGTGGACACGTGTTTCTGATTATTGGTCTTCATCAGTACGCTGCAGCCAAGTTCAAAAGAGAATGGAACTAGCGATGAAATCAAATCAACTGGAGATCACTCAAGAAGCCAACCACATATTTGTGGACTGTGCTAACATTCCCAGTGATTACTATAACTGCCTCCGTGGCGACGCTAATATTTTCCCAGTAATCACTGGGAATGTTAGCACAGTCCACAAATGTGTGGTTGGCTTCTTGAGTGATCTCCAGTTGATTTGATTTCATCGCTAGTTCCATTCTCTTTTGAACTTGGCTGCACCGTACTGATGAAGACCAATAATCAGAAACACGTGTCTACGGTTTGCCTTTAGGCATTTTTTTTTTCATTTTTTTGCGGTATTTGCCCAATAATCCTTTTATATTTTTAAAATATATGAATGTTTTTTTTTTAAGTTTTTAAAATCAGTTATTATTTTGTTTACTTTTTTAG